AAAGCGAAATAGATTCCATACTGCAAAAACATACATGGGAGCTAGTGGATCTTCCTCCTGGATGCAAACCACTATGCTACAAATGGATTTTCAAAGGAAAATGAAAGCAGATGGAACTATTGAAAAGTACAAGGCCAGATTAGTAATAAAATGTTACAAACAAAGGGAAGATTTTGATTACTTTGATACGTATTCTCCAGTGATGAGAATAACATCTATTAGGATGATACTTGCGATTGCCGCTTTGCGAAATCTTGAAGTACATCAAATGGATGTTAAAACTGTCTTTCTAAATGGAGATTTAGAAGAAGAAATTTACATGGAACAACCTGAGGGGTTTTCATCACCAGGACAGGAAAAGAAAGTTTGTAAACTGGTGAAATCACTATATGGTTTGAAACAAGCACCAAAACAATGGCATGAAAAATTTGACAATGTCATGATTGAGAGTAGATTTAAAATCAATGAATGTGACAAATGTGTTTACGTCAAAGACACTAAAGATGGATATGTCATCTTATATCTTTACGTTGATGACATGCTTATTGTTGGTAGTGACAATAAGATGATTGAATCCACTAAAAATATGTTAAACTCGAGATTTGACATGAAAGATATGAGTTTAGTTGATGTTATACTTGGAGTGAAAAAATCTCAAGAACATTAAATGGGCTTGTTCTAAGTCAGTCACATTATGTTGACAAAATTTTGGGAAAATTCCATAAGAATGATACTGGCTTAGCTAGAACACCAATAGATACGAGTCAACATCTGTCTAAAAATAAAGGAGAAAGTATCTCTCAAGTAGAATACTCGAGAGTTATCGAAAATCTAATGTACTTAATGAGTTGTACTAGACCAGATATAGCCTACACAGTCAGCAAACTGAGTAGATACACAAGTAATCCAGGAGCTGATCACTGAAAAGGAATTGTAAGAGTACTAAGGTGCTTAAGATATACTCGTGACTATGGACTATATTATACTAGATATCCAGTAGTCATTGAAGGATACAGTGATGCTAATTGGATATCTAATATAAAAGATTCAAAATCCACCAGTGGATATGTGTTCACATCGCGTGCTGCTACCATACCGTGAAAATCCTCTAAACAAACGGTTATAGCCAAATCTACGATGGAATCTAAGTTTATAGCTCTAAATAAATGTGGTGAAGAGGTTGAATGGTTGCTCAACTTCTTAGAGGATATTCCAAGATGATCAAAACCTGTGCCAACAATTTGCATATATTGTGATAGTCAATCGATAATAGAAAGGGCACAGAGTAACATATATAATGGTAAGTCTAGACATATACGTCGTACACACAATACCATAAGACAACTACTCTCAACTAGAGTTATCACTATTGACTATATAAGATCAAAAGATAACATTACGGATCCGCTAACTAAATGGTTAAATAGAGAGTTAGTTATGAAATCATCAAAAGGAATGTGACTTAAGCCCTTGAAAGAATAAGTCATTATAAAGGAAAACCCAACCTAGTTGACTGGAGATCTCAAGATCTAGGTTCAATGGGAAAACTTAACTGTAAAGACTTGATAAAATCACTGTGGGGGTAGTACCTCCTGTCCATTCCTATAATGTAACAGTGATGCCCGTAAGGTTGAAGGTTAAGCAATAGATTTTTAATGATTCTTATGCATCGTAAATCGAGCCAAGTAATGCGGGTTACTTGTAATAAGAAATCACCTATATGAAAGAGAAGTGGGGCCGCTTCTAAGAGAATTGGGTGGGGCTCAATTCTTAAGAACTCTCACAGAACTAGGCATATGTTCATGGCCAAAACGAACATAACAATGAGAACTGAATTGTGTTAGGAAGAATCATGTGTGAGGTATATCATCGTTTACACAAATGGTAGAACGGTTCAAGGACATCGCGTCTACTAGTCAGCCAGTAAAGTAAATATGCTTTCACAAGGGAAGGTTCAAAGAGTAACACCTACCTATCCTATGCAGGATTCAACCGCTGAACTTTATCACCTAGTCTTGTGTCTCACGTTTCGTGTCTCTCCCAATTTTCATTCATGTGGGGGATTGTTGAAAAAAATTGAGTGAGCAGCTTACTTTTGGCACAATTTTCGATGGGACCCGTTGGTCCAATATGAAATATCAAAGTTGATATGTGTTCTCCTCCGCAAGAACATCGATTTCATGTATTTATTTGCCAAAAATGAAACTCGGGTGAATGAGAAATTGAAGTTCAAAGTTGGTCATTGGAAGTTGATTTTGTGGGAAAAAAATGCATTTATCCCACATAGGAAAACCAAAGAAACTTAAACCACTTTATATATGGCTATGCTTTGGAGATGTGTAATCATGTGTAGCATAGAGGCTCTCTCCACGTGTGCGTGCAGAGGGGGGTGCAAATCACGAACCGAAATGACCTTTGGACCTTGAAATTGGGTGTGGACGCGACCTGCGCACACGAATGTCGGACCGAACAAGGCAAAAATGGCCCCATCGGTGAGCCCACGTTTTGCCAATTTTTTTTTTGCCTTTCTCCAATGACTTTTGAGTTTCTAAACTGAAAAAATTCCAATGGACTCCCAATGGTCACAGTGTTAATGGGAAGTAACTCCAATGGACTCCCAATGATCACAATATTAATGGGCAATATGCCTATAAAAAAGCTCATTCTCCAACAATCTAACATACTAAAAAATCTCACCTACATTCTTGCATACACAGTTTCTTCTTTTCTGCATTTCTTGTCCAGTAAGGTCTTGTTCTTATGGTGATATTGTTCAGATGCTAGATCAGTTCGCTGGAGTAGGACCGCGGTGCTCGGATTCTACTTATTACCCTTGTATCCTGGGAGACAACCACTCGAACTGAACCTCCAGCACCTACGGTGAAGGAGCGAAACTGTCTTAAAAAAATTGTGCATGGACAGACCTCAGTTTGAAACCTGCTGCAATTTGTGTTTTCTTTCTACAGATTATTTTCGCATTACTATTTAATTCATGCAGCTTGTAATTCTATAGTGTGTAACTTCCAGATTCATCGTTTATAGTTTTAACCTTCAATTAACTTATATTTATGATTTTGTGTTGCTAAACATTTTTTTTAGCCGGTGGAAAATTATGAAACGAAATTTTTTTGATAAATTGAAATCGTTTGCTTTGCGGTTATTAATTTCAATAGTCGGCTATTGTAATTGAATAAAACTTATACAATTAATTTCATCCACTAGTGACTTGTTTTCCTACAATTTTCATGCCCACACACACTAGAGGTGTAAATTAGGTCATACGTGTTCATGTAATACGGTTGTCGGGACAAGAACATCACAACTAATGTCAATGTTTGTCCCTGGCCAAGGGCCCAAGACTGCAAGAACAAGAACCGGGCCAGCATGCACACAAAATATACCCTGGACCACAGTCAAAATTACACAGTACTATACAAGTAGGCTCACATATAGCACAGAAAAGAGCAGAAAGACGAGAACACGAGAAATTCCTTCAAAATGCATTTTCTGTCACAAGAATTCAATACCATGTGGTTAGCAAAGAAAGCCAGGACAAAAACAAGTATATCTGACAATAAGAAGCCAACAGAAATAAGCTAAATTTACTCCCACGCGAATGTCCGCGTTTGGTGGGATCCACTTGTAGACGACCCATCGGGCTCATTCATAAACATTCCCCGAAAATGGACAGTTGAGTTTTTGCTACCGTGGGGGGAATCCATATCAAACCCTACCGGCTTGCTTTCAACTTCTCGAGGATACGAGTACTGGCCTAGGCCGATATACTGCGAACTGTGAACTGACTGTGCATTTGAGAGTAATGGATCATGCTGCACCACATGATCCAAACCAAATTCTCGAGAAACAGCAGGGGCCGATGACAGAAGAGAGAGAGCACGATCAGAGTCAACAACTTGATTTAAGCCATCAGCATAAAGATTTTGGCAGCAGGTATTGTTACTTCCAGATGCAGCATTCGGATCAAGAAGAGGTTGACAGATGGAAATTTCTTGGACACTTTGGTGAGGGCTTTGCAAAAATTGAAGTTGATTTACTCCTTTAAAGCTATGAGCCGAAATTTCAGGAAATGTATTTTGTCTCTCGATGTAATCTAAGTGTGGTTGATTGTTGTATAGAATCATATTATTCTCAGTTTTCACGATCCCGGCCCAAGATGAGCTCGCACTGGGATTCGGAATTATTTCTGGGCTATTAAATGAGAGAACTCGAGTACCTGCAGCAATAAGACAGTTCACCTCAGCAAACAAATGCTATCATGTTTGGCTAGGCTTAAAAAGTTTACTTATAAGTAAATAAATAAGTTTCAAAATAAATAATTTATATCATTCAAAGCTGGAAAGAAGCTAGTTACTTATTTTGAACATTAAAGTAAGAGTTACTTTTATAATAAGCAACCGTTGGTTTTTTTTTTTTAAAGGTGGTCAAGAAAAGAATAAGTTATCAATCATGTTTGGAAGGTTAACTTTCACTTCTTTTTGAACTTATCCAACATGCTCTGAGTAAGACAATTTATGGGCATATCGCATTTCAAGTTTGTTCAAGTAGAAATAGATAAGCAAACATGCAAACAAACAAATGCTATTAAGTCGCTTCAAAAAAACATATCATATATTTAATTCTAACCTTGCTGGACGGGAAACATCAAACCAGAACTTCTAGACAGCGTGTCAGGCTGAGGCTTCCTCCGGCGCCTGTTGTGGCCATCAAGACGTTTCCTGCAGCTTCTCTTTCCCTCGTCAAACTCTATCAAGGAATGAAACCTACAAAAGTGATATAAAATATATTTTAGTGCATGTCTGTCAGAGCTTATAATTGATTATAAGAAGTGGTTCCCAAGGAGTCTGTTGTAAAAAAGCAGGTAAAAGTTGCACATGTGGACAAAAATGAAGGCTGACAAACATGAACTTACATGCAATAAAATACTTTAAATCTAAACGGAACCCAGGATTAATACCATCAGAAACTATGTAGTCCACGATCAACTGACGAAAGACCAACGTAACAGTGCTTACTAGGCCAGACAACTAGAGGCACAGGTCAAAGAATATCATCATAATTTCCTGAAAATTACTGCTTGGCTCCCCTTTTACCAAATATATGTATCCAACCTGTTTTCATTTTAATACGAAGTTTTGACGCCAATGCATTCTTGATCACAAAGTCATGACATTAGTCTTAAGAAAAAAAAGAAGCATCTTTTCACACAAAGGTCCGATCTCCAAAACAAATACAATTTGACTTCAGAATCCTAATAACCAAATTGATGTTCATTCCAAGGCTTAAGAGGTCCACAAGTGCCCTTCAAAATTAGTAGAATTTAAATTTGAACTTGTCCTTCGCAATGAATTAGAGTGATAATTGCCGAAAAAAGTTACAGCTACAATCACAACGGGATGAGTTTTGAATAGAAGGTGGCCAAACTAGAATTGTAGGATTATAAATCTCAGCACAGTTTAATATAGTCAAATATTGTAAGTTGGTCAAGAAATAAATAAATAGTGACAACTCAATTTACAGGAAGAGTCAAAAACTAAAACTCGGGGTTAAAGAAAGAGAGAGTGAAAAAAAATTGCTGTTCGTAGATATATCCATTTCAAACCTATATATGAATTCCAACAAGCACATTAGAAAGGTACCGTAAGAACAATAGCATGCCTATATTATATGCCACAACAGTACATGATCATTCAAAGTTACTGTAATTGCCAATCCAAACATATTCCGCAGAACAAAATTAGTGAACGCTGCTGCAAGAATATGTAGAGCCTAATCATATCGTTCACTTGGTGACAAATTAGAGAAAAAATCAAGCGACGAGGGTATCTTTGGTACATACATATACTAAGCCACTTAATATTCCAACTATATTTAAAAGATTTTAGAGGGGAGCCATTTCCGTAATAAGGGAGGTATAAGATCCTCTGCACAGTTCTTCGTAATAGAGAAAAATCTGCAGCAGCAGCAAGTGGATAGCTCTCTCATATTGAGGGTGAAGAAATATAAACTCTGCCCGCACTTTTCATACTTCAGTTGTTTTTACTACTTATTGATCTCGTAACTTCGATTTTGCTTTAATCCCCGACACAAGTATGAACAAAATTACATTGTTACTAATGCCAGTGATAAGGTAGAATCATACAGCAGTTTCAAAAGCGATTTACTTGCTGCAAGTCATGCTAATCGATATATTGATAAAAACAAACTTCTTATCAATCCATTAGCAAACAAAGTGCTTCAAATGTGATGAGGGCCTAAGCCTACTAATGCATCAATGGAACAAAATGTTGAAGCATAAAGAATTGGTACTGAATCACAATCGATGATAACTATTTATAAAATTCACCTGCTGCACTGTTGACAAAACCGCTGCTCTCGACCCCCAATTGTGACCCTTGCAGTTTTTGAGTGTGCCTCACAGACTTTGTGACGCCGGTGATACTCTCGACACAGACTTAGGTCCGCATCACACCCATCCACCAAGCACTGAGCAACTTGTGTAACATTCCCGGGTGCCTTTGCCCTTTTCGACGATCCAGAAAATGACGATGAATCCATTGAAAAATCTTGGAAGATCACAAAATCCTTTCAATGTCTAAACCCTCAATCCCAACAGCTCTTTAACTCTATGATTTGATCCCCAATATTCTCTATACTTCTAAGTTGCCAACCAGATATTCGCTGTGCCGGAAAATTGAAAACAGGGCAATGGTTTTTTGCTCCAAAATAGTTCACACACTCCGTTTTCTCTCAAATAAGCTATTCCTAATCCGATTCTCCATTGATCCTGAATAACATTCTTTCCATACTTGTCCACTGGTTGAACATCAAGTAAGTCTGAGTAGTAATTTTAAAAAAGAAGCATAAACAAAGAGTTAGATTGATTAATCCAATTTGTAAACCCAGATAAGGCAGGGAGGCTAAAAAAAAAAAAAGAGGAAGAAGATGAAGAAGACGAAGAAAGAAAGAACACACAATTGCAGGTTAATGCTACAACTCCAAATAATTCAAGTAAAAAACTACAGCTATATAGGTTATGTATTCGAATCAGAAGAGAAATCAATATTGACAGTTCCTATCTGTAAATTGACATTCAAATTAAAATCTACAAGAATCTGTATATGGAAAAGGGTATACAATACGATTATTCGTTTACTTCAAATCGTCAACATTCAGATTGGCTAATTCCATGCTAATACTACTTCAAGACACAGTCTATTCTTAAGGAATTAAATTTCCCCCAAATTAGAAGCAGATTTTTCTAATCTTTTGGGAGAATTATCAGTGTTCAAGTAACAAAATTGATGATTGAACGGTCTTATTTTTGAACGGTGTAATTTTTCCAACTTTTTAGGTAAGACAGAGATAAAAACAGGTCTTTTGGAAAAGTTAAAAAATGGCAGTAATTTCACCAACAACTCTACACCCAATCCACAAGGCCCACATTTGGAAAAAGAAAACTTAATCAAATCAATGTAGTTAGTGAAAATTCAGTATTTTTAAAACTAATATATTATCATGTAAATAAAACCCAGAAAACCCATTTCAAGAGGGGAAAAATATGCACAAGGGAACAGAAAAATAGAAAAGAGGCTTATCTGCAATTTGCTGATGCTACAGAAAAAAAAAAGAAAAAAAAAAAAAGATATTTGAATGATGTGAAAAAAGTTGGACGTTCCTTTTTTGGGTGGGGTTTTGAGTGTTGATTAAAGTAAAAGACTGAAACTTGAACAAGAATAGTCTCTGTGTGTGAGAGACAGAGAGAGAGAGAGAGAGTACCTCAGAAATGAAGCTCAAAGTATACCAACTTTTTTGGTATGTTGAGTACCCAATGAGACGAAATGCATAAAAGTTAAGGAGATTGAAGCAAAGTAAAGAAGCATAATACGTACAAAGAGAATTAAATTGATGTTAAGAGAGAGAAGAGTTTCAGACACGTGGAAAAGAAGATAACTGACTTAGTCTTCTCAGCCATTGATTCTCTGACAACGACTCCATTATATCCCAGTAAAGTGGCAACTGGTAAAAAGATAACAATGGTGTGTGTGAAAGAGAGAGATGAACATAGGGGACAGTAGGGAATGAAGAAAGGCTACAGATTATATAGGTGAACAATAACGTATGAATAGTAATCCATATTACGAAGTTCATTTGAGTGTGCATCCCTTTTACCTTTAAAAAAAAAAAAAAAAAAAAAAGGTTGAATCCCAAGTTTGAGGACTTTCACCCCGTCTCGCCCTTAAAGATTTGTCTCCCAACAGACTAAGGAATAAAAGCTGTCTGTACACTGTGTCTACAAGAAATTCAATTTCATGTCTTAGGAATCAAATTCTCACACTGCGACTGTTAGCAAGATGTGAGATAACCTTACTCCTGTCCTTTGCACTACTAAACTATACCCGAGGCTTTCATCCCTTTTACCTTATTGTACGTGTGACGTGATCCATTGAATAAAATCTCTCACAAAGCCAATAGTGAAATTGGATACACACACGGGCAGGAAAAATGTTTATGTCTTTATGACACATCATTGTTGACAGATTTTTTTTATTATTATTATTATTTTTTTTTTTTTTGACAAATTAATGAGGTGATGATAATTGAATGAAAACTGTTGAAATTTCTTTATCATTTAAAAGATTATGCTTATGTGATGCGGGCTGATGGCAAAAAGAAAGTGAAATAATGTTCTTTTATTTGTTGGTGAGATTTTGACTTTGATAAATATCATCACATCATCTATTAATAAACAAATTTATAAGTTGTTATGTACATGTAGTACGATTGGACTGATAGAGTGAGTACATGTATGGATGAACAAGAATTATATATTTATACTAATATACACAAATTATCAGTTGCAGACCCCCAAATTTTATCGCTTGGGTGCCCGCATTTAGATCCAAACTGTCTTTTTTTAAGCACGTATGAATAATCAGATGAAAATCGTTCAAACTTTTTCACAAATAATTACTTGAAGCACTTATTTTTTTTTTTCGTCATATTTGGCTCTCCAAACAGACTTTTTGGTGCACGTAAGAACAAATGGACATAAATTGTTCGATTTTCTGACAAATAGTCAAACGTGATTCATTCTATTTTTCATTGTAATGAGGTGCTCAAACCATCTTTTTTGGTGCACGTAAAATAAATGGACATAAATTATTCAATTTTGTGACATAGTGCACTTGACCCAGTTTATCCAGAGTAATTCAACTAAGCTCATCATCCTTGAAAGGACTATTTGACCAGAAGATGAATGATTTTCATATATTTGTCCTTACGTGCATTAAAAAGAAAGCTTAGGATTCAAATGCAATAAAAAAAATTGAACAGTGACTGAAATGCAACAAGTTGTAATGTTTGAGGATTGTGAATGAAAAATCCCCAATATATTAATTACATAGTGGGGTTGGTTGTGGGTTTAGGTGGTCAGGGGGAGGTTGAAAGGATTTTTAAGTTTGTGGGTTTTCCTCTCAAACCCAATTAGTGTGCCTTTCGATGCAATTAGCCATGTAATAAATGATTAAGGCCATGTTTGAGCCGTATTATATGAAAAAAAAATACATTCTTAAACAGTAAATGACATCATTTCAACCACAAATTTTTTAATAAAATAATATTATACGTTTTAACTGCACATTCTTCATCAATCTACTATTCCAAAATATATTCTTTAGAAATAATGTGCCTCATGGCTCAAATACACACTCAAATAAGAATAATGCTATTTACAATCGTTTACTGTCATAGTCGTTCTACGTACACACATGTGTCAGCTAGTGATTGATACATTAATTTGATAATTTTTTTATTATCTTATGTATTAATCGCTATATGTATATCAAATATGGCGATTATGGTGATGATCTACTACAAGAAAAATTATTCTTAAAATAATGTGATTANATTAATCGCTATATGTATATCAAATATGGCGATTATGGTGATGATCTACTACAAGAAAAATTATTCTTAAAATAATGTGATTAAGCAAATAAAAAAATGTCACATAAACGAGTGGCAAAGAAAGGGACAGAGTGTTTTATGTGAAATAAAAAAGTTGGAAAAAAGTACAAATGCATGATAATACTTTGTGTCTCACGAGTCACATTCTCCTCCTTTCATTCATTGTGCTCCTCCTCTATTCGTGTCTTAAGATTTGATAAAATAGATGGGATATAAGAGATGTGGATAAAGTATCTTTATGCATTTTACTCATGTTTGTTATGTACTACTAAATGAAAAATAGTATATCGATAAAATTTTAGTTCGTCATTTTAATTTAACTATGTCTAGATTTTTATCCAATATATCATCCCTAAAATGCAAATTATTGTTCTTTTTTCATTATTTGATAAATAGAATTAGGAAGATTAGTCATCGTAAATTAAAATAGGTCATGCATGAGCAATGTAATGCAATATATCATGTACAACTCTATCTCTCACACCATTTGACGTATGTCAAAGTAACTATTTCTTTTAAAAGATAAATTAGTAAGAGAGGCACAATCAAATATTTTATCAATCAGACAATGACTAGTTATCCATACCAAACACAATTAGTACGCGACTTTGTTCAAAAATGGGAAAATTAGATTATGACTCCTCAACTTTCAAAATTAAGGTTTTTGTGTCCCAACCTATATAAATTTGTGAATCAAGGTCCTTGCATGACTGAAATCGTTAATATGGACTTCAAAATCATGCACCACTTTCAAATGACTTGGACGACGTTTGACTCTCTTTCTTTAAAACTCATTTTTAAACCCATTTTAAATTATACATTCTCCTAATAAATAATTTTATAAGCAAACTCAACTCAAAACTCGTTCTTTCTTTTTTTAATCACATTTTATAAAAAAAAAAAAATGACTTTTTACAAAAATCATTCTAAAAAATATGGCTGAAAGCCTAGAGTTCGATGTTAAGTGATTTGATGATTTTAAAGTGAAATGGGAATTTAGTATTGCACTCATAATAAGATAGGAATCCAAATATTTACTCATTATAAAAGGTGAGGAAGCTTACATCTAATTTTTCCTTGGAAACTCTATTATGTATTTTTTGGTGGAGCCCACAAAGCAGGATTGATCCTTTCGGCTGTTGATTAATTATTGATGGGTCCCAGTTCTTTGGGACATATATTTGGGCCCAAAAGCTAATCAGACCACAATTGACAGCACAGTAAAGCAACAAAAATATGCAGACAATCCAACGACTATAAGACACAGTTATTTATTATTTTAATTCTGATTATTGCTTATTTAATTATCTATAAACATGTTTTGACTCTCTCAAGTTGAGGAATTTAACAGACAAAACTATAATTTTAGTCACAAATGTTGACTGTTGTACTTTTGAATGCTTTTAAGTTGGTTTTGATGCTTGTTGGAAAAATAAATAAGGTTATTGAGGCAGCTTCAATTCCTCAAACTTTGATCTAAATAGAATATTAAAAACCTGATAATTATAATCATGTATTGTCAAATTTCACGTGGTTTTTAAATTTTCTTGTTACTCGAAGACTGGAATGTTAACGTTTTTCATTTGTATATAAGTTTATCGTTCAAGTTAAATTACTTATATGATTCACAGAAAGTAGAATATGACATATTGTCTGCTTTGAAATAGATCTTAATTTATGAATCGAAGCCATGATATAGTCAACTTTTTCAAATCCCTAGGACCATTTTAAGTTGAGACATCTAGAAGCTAAACACAACATTTTGCAAGAACGGGCAATAATTTCATTTCCAATTACTATGTGATAAATGTATTAGATTCTTTAAAGTAACAAATCCTTGGCGTCCTCATAAAATTAACTTCATAAAATCATGTGTGACTACTTAAAAATATTTCAACACGAGTATGATCTCATTAAATATCAAATTTTAGCACAAGAATTAGAAAATCTATATCTAAAATTAGTCTTTATTGAGAAGTATGGATAAGACTATCCTATAAAGACATTTGAAAAATCAAGAGTTGTCGTAACATCAATTCAATAACTAAGACATCGAACAAACTGTAGAAGTTATCTTGTTCATCAAACCAACAAACAAAACATACTCAAGCATTTAATTGACATCATACATCAACGAAATAAAGTTATCAGATGAATTACGTTGTGATTATTGGTGGTAATGATCGAGTCGAGCCAGTTGGCCCATCTACCCACTAGTTCGGCTCGGCCTAACGAGTTCAAGATTTTTATTTTTATTTTTTTGTGTGCCCGCGAGCTGAGCTCGTGGGTTTGTGAACTTTATTTGCCCGCGAGCAAAGCAAGGCTCAACTCATTGAACGAACCACCCGTTCGATTCGGATTCGGTTTCGGGCTCGTTCATCAACAAGGCGATGAATTACTCGACTTTTTTGCCAGCCTTATTATCGTAAAACAAAAAAAGTATTCTATTATCATTTATCAGAAACTGTTGCCAACCAGAGAATCGTCGGCAGCCACTGGCTCAAGCAATCAATTCAGATACCAATTTCTTGGAGGATTCTGAGCCACGTGACCACACTAATTATCATGCATTAAGTGCTTGTACCTAACTAGGATCAGTTTGCCTGAATGGAGGAGACATTACCAACGATCCAAAAGGGCAAAATTTACTGCTCAGGAAAAGAACTTTACAAATTACAACCGTTCTGCTTTGGCAGCCCATCCTTTTTGCAATTCACTCAATTGACCATTAATACTTATAAGTTAAAAGTGTACGTATAATTTCAACAATGTTATAACCCAAAATCAAGAAAGTATACACATTTTTAGGACCACACTTTTGTTGTGTAGTATAGGGAGTGAGGGTAAAACAGGCCCCGACCGGGCACGTGTCGATTCGTGGCCCGTATTTTTGTCCCAGAGGTACTGAACTTGACATGCTAATATGGGTGTTAAAAAGAGTGAGTCGATCAAGGCTAATTCATCATTAAGTTCATGGTCGACATGAATCAACCCAACTAAATATATTATCCTAGTCAACTTCTTGAAAATACGTGGATTAGACCGGCCCAGAAGTGTAGCCGTTCTAAACTGACCAACCCATCATCTTTTAATCTATAATTGAACAAACTAAATAATATGAATAATCATATTGATATATTTGATAATTACATCGTTAAAATGACTACGAAATATAAATAAGCACTATAAATATAGTAGTACGACTTTAATAAATTGAGCTATGTGATCTAAAAAATCTAACTTAGCGGAATCCACCATAGTTGATAGACCAACCCGTTAACAGGTTCGAAGCAAGCTTGGCTGCTTTAAATCAAATTTTCGACAAGCTTGAACCATCCGTGCTTATTGACACCACAATAAGCTCGGCTCGACCCATTGGTCTAACCCACTGTGGTATATCATGACTCTCAAGTCAAAACTGGTACCCACTATTTCAATAATGCTATAACCCAAAACTGGAAAATGATAACGATGTTTAGGACCACCTTTTTTGTTCTGTAGTGCTAGGGACAGGGGTCCTTTTCTCTCTTTCAAAGAAGTGTTTTGCCTAAAAGGTTAGCATTATCATCTTACATTTACCTAAACTGGCAGGCGTGCAGTAAATGGATAATTATGTGACAGTACGCAGCACCACCCAATTTGTTCAGCTGCAAAGGACAAGTGGATGGTTCCTACATATTCAAATGTCACTTTGGATTCATTCAATTCAACCAGTGATGTTGAGTTGATACGCAAAATCGAACAAAACAAGACAAATATGATTAGGACCCATTTGTTAAGATTTTTTACTTTTACTTTTTGTAAAAGAATTTTTTAAAAAAATTACTTAATTTTTGAAAGAATTTTCTATTCCAAATTGCTTTAAAAGAAAATATATTGGATCAGTTTTCTTTAAGAGCTCTTTTAAGTATAAACACTTTCATAAAATTTTCAAACAGATTTAAAAACAACTTTTAAGTCTCAAAACTCCTTTTAACTTTTCAAAAGCCATACAAACGGACCCTTAAAGATTTTAACTTGTTAATAATAAGATCTAGTACATTGTAGACGATAACCATGAATATTAACTGTGCAACACTTCAAACGACAACTTCAACAATTAAAGAGTAGCGGGCACAACTAGAGGTGTCAAAACAAGTTGAGCCTGGCCCATGCCTAACAAGTTCGGTCCGACTTACCTGTTTTAACATCACTAGGTGCAACCTAACTAACAAGTTTGGAACCAGCCTAGGCAAACCTTACAGGCTGGTTCGACTGAGTAAACCCCCACTGGGTGCAACGTTTACCTAACCAAATTCACTGTAATTTCAGAGCAAATTGTAAATACTATCCTTTGTGAAAGAATTTGATTTGCACATCCAGAATGTAGGTTGTAAATCGCTATCTGCAACAAAAACAAGACGCAGGCAAAGACTAGAAGTAAACGAGACTTTTTTATTGAGGATTTTTCAACATCTCTACTTTTATCTGAGAAATTAATTTGATCCCGAACCATTACATATATACCTAAATCAATTTTATAACTTTTAACAATATCTCTACAAAATTCAGTAACTACAAATATGGCCAGGCACAGCCTGTGTCGGGTGGGCTCAGCTAGCCGCAGCTAACATTAAAGGCATATCATAAGTAGGTTGCCGAGATTGGCTACTTAAAAGACTGCTTCACACTCCGGTTTCTTGAAAGGAAAGAAGCGCTGATGCCAGAAAACGTTCTCCCAAACATACCAGAACCTGGAATATCATTGTTTGTATCTTCCGATGAATGAACCCCATTGGAAACCCGAGGGGTGCTGAGGCTCGACACTCCGACTCCATCTGAGATTTCATAAAGATCCTAAGAAGGGATACCTGATGGGTTAGACGACACCGACCATTTAAAATCAAATGAAAGGCATAAATTTGTAATAAAATACGATAGTACCTTTAACCCTGAGGCAGAAATGGTATTTTGCAAAAGATGCTGAAAATGAAGTACGAGTCAGTGTGGAATAGAAATACTGATACTTCAACAGGGATGTATAACTAGATGTTGAGCATAACTCAGAAAAACAGTCATTAGATGTCTAGAATTTTATATTTTTGATACAAGTGTAGCAGATTTATACAGCAAACTAACCAAAAGAATCACAGATTTTTCATAGACATTTTTAACTACCGTTACCAGCTTGAAATCAATATATATAACAGAAGGGATGAAAAAGAATTACGGTAAATATTAAAGGAATGTAACAAAAAGAGTCATAGAGGTTTCATAGACATTTCACTTTCCCAATAACTTGGGGAAATTAAATTGTCATGTACATATGCCATAACTTTCCAGGTAGAATGCACAGTCCACAAACCTTGTTAGATCTATCAGAGGGAGAAGGTGGCTCGATTGATGAATTGGCAGGTAAAGAAGCAGCCTGTGAAAAACACAGAAGAAAAGCAAATAGAAATTAAATCCACATTTTAGCAATGACATCCGGACGGACCTATCGTGAATATTTTACATTGACGTAATAATATTCTACCTTTGATGGAGATACTTGAGGCAATTCAAGAGCAGGACGGGAAGAACTTGATGCAGCTCCCTCCAGATTGCAAAGAACAAAATTTAGAAAATCCACAATTATTGCTAAAATTAAATAGGAAGAGTAGAAAGTTTCTTTCTTGCCTCAATCTGCTCCACAGGTCTGTTATTTTCAAGATTCCTCACATAAGCAACCAACTTTCCAACTCCAAAGTTCGTTTCGTTCTACATTGATGATAGCATATGATTGGCAATCATTATTAGATGGTAAAATTATTCCATGAATACAGACACAGAATTCCAGAGTTTAAACTCAAATAATACCTGTCTCCCTTCTATCCTACTGATTTTTGTCTCCTGTAAAAGGAAATTAGTTTCTAATCCGATCTTAAAGTAAACAATGAAAAATTAGATGAAAGTACACGCGCTAGAGCGCGCACACAGTGTACAGACTAATCACCAGAGATCGCACTACGTGGTGAACTGAGTGGACATCTGCACCTATCAGTTTCACCTCTCCTCGTAGTTCAGAAACCTATAAAATTTATCAAGCGCTCAGTGACTTGGCAGGATACTTAGACCAATATAAAACGGAGCAAAAATTGATCCAATAGTCACCATTGATTTATCTAACCTCTTCTTTAGTTGCAGTTGTATCATCCACACACTCATCAATTTTACAATCTACACGATCAATTCTTGAAGATAAATGCCGTTTAGTGGCCTGAAAAGGTAAGACGATAAATGACGCAATGGCATTCTTCAAACTACCATATCCGCATGCATTTGACTAAATACACTCTATGGATGTTTTAGCAACACTTTGTGGAATAAAAACTGTCAACGACAAATAAAAGAACCTAACAGGGATTAACAGCGCTGAGAAGCTAAATTCTGCTCATATAAGGTTCATCTCCAGCAAAGTACGGGAGTAAAATAAGAATCACTAAAGAAATTCGAACTAACAAAATAATACAAGTCCATGGTTCCTAAGTGTTTCCAAATAATAGTTCAGAAAATAATCAAAATGACAATTAGTACCCAAGACAGAAGTGTGAAGCAAATCAAGCAATGCCCAAAGAATAGTTTGCAAATCAAGCAATGCCCAAAGTACGGGAGTAACATAAGAATCACTAAAGTAATTCGAACTAACAAAATAATACAAGTCCATGGTTCCTAAGTGTTTCCAAATAATAGTTCAGAAAATAATCAAAATGACAATTAGTACCCAAGACAGAAGTGTGAAGCAAATCAAGCAATGCCCAAAGAATAGTTTGCATGCACAAGGAAAACAACCAAAAACAAACGTTGTTCCCCCATTTTCTGTCACCACAAAAATAGTCAAAATGTCTTGATTCTACAAATCTTGAATAAACATAATTTACTCCATTCATGTCATCACTAAAATAGTCATGCTACGTGGATTTTACAAATCTATCTTGATCAGGGAAATCAATAACTCCAAATGAACTTGAATTCGGAGGCCAATTTTGAGATCACTGGAGAAGGTATGGTCTTGGGTTATTGAAGCACTAAAAAAATTATTGATCAACTTAATATTGCAGGAAGACTTCATGTGCTTGACATGAAAATGAACAATCAAGAAGAAAATTGGTCAATTGTCAATCATCCACTTGTTCAAAGAGTTCATGAAACTTCATGCCAGCAGCAACATCAAGTCCATCACAGCAGAATAAAGAGAATCTATTTCAACTTAACTATTTCTTAGCAATATATGATAAGACGAAGCAATACTGACTACCCTAAGGACTTCAAACAACATACAAGTAATATGATCAGTAGGTTTGATAGATTACAGCTATGAATAATATGTCAATAACGCTAAGACTGTCCACAATAAATATTCAAGGTAAATTACTAAACAAGTGAAATGTAAAATGAGGAAAACAGATATGTTAGAATGAGAACTTACCGAAATCGAAGTGTACACACCCTCAAGCTGTTTTCCTACAGAAGCACATGCATCGTTTAACCCACGCCTGGTTGCAAACATCATATCAGATAGTTTCCAACCCTGCAATCGCATTAAAAATTTAAAAGATGCTAATCAGCCCAGAAGGAGATCTAAAAAGGGAGTGAAATCTTAAGATATGAACTAATCTAATATTTATTTCACGAAATAATTATGCAAAGAAAAAATTAAAATGACGGTATCCGAGCATTAAATTTTCCTTGTATCTGATAGACAGAAAGTCGTCCAGGTATATTGAGAGGTCAACATTTAGTATTTGACAAGCAAAAGTTTCCCACCTAGGTATGAAAAGTTTTGAACTTCAAATTGCAGTTTGAAAATATAATCCCTCTTGAAGATGTTTTTGAACATTTAAAAAACCCACAGATCGATAGTTCACCATTTCGGTTCAGCAAAAACTGAATCAGATTAGCATATTATGTTTTCTAAGAGTTGAACATTTCCGCCTCTATCCATACATCAAATTGGCATTCCTCTAACAAGATGAAGATCTTGATCCATCTGCCAACCAAAATCCACATGCCATTAAAGTGTATATGAGCAAGGATTGTCCACCAGTAAGTATTCCAACAGAAGATGCACACTTAAACGGTTTTATTCCACTTTCTCATTCAAAAGAAAACTCAACCGAGCTCTGCTTAAATATCTAGTTATCGGGGAGAACATTCAAAAGATAACACTTATAAACTTGAAATAAAATGATGTTGAATACTTGTCATAGTGGAGAGTCCTCGCAAAAGGAGATTATTATATTGTACAAATTTCTATGGAATTTAATTGTGAAAATATTAGGAAACAAAAAATGAATCTTTAAGAAGACAACTTGTAATGAGACAATACAACTCCTCCTCGATGTGGCAATATGAGCAAAATGTGCTTTGTTAAATCATATGACCAAGAAGAATAGAAGAATTACCTTCCACCATATATAGCCGTACCCGACAACTACAATAACAATAACTACACCATATTTGCCGGACCCTGTAATTATTTGATATAGAAATCTCAATCAAGAGCATAGCATTAGAAAGCCATTGCTAGAAAACTCTTGGAAAGGTTGGTAAAAAATTATTAGTAAAAAAAATGCAGATAAGAATAGATACACAATTCTGCAATATGTTACAACCTAGACAATGATTTCCATGGTTTCTTCTAGCTTTTAAATTTTATATGAACAAGGACATAACAGCTAGAAGAACAGTAGGCTTGAATTTCATCTAAGCAAATTTATCAACAAAATACTAATATCCCCAAAATTTCATGAAGAGAAGAAAAACAATACTCCCTCTATCCCATTTATATAAATTGGTTTTATTTTTCACATTAAGAAATCTTATTTAATATTATTGAAAAAGCAATTTTTACCAAAAACTTTCCTAGTCTTCCATTATTTATATTTGTACAATTTTAAGATTAAGTGGAGAAAATTGATTATAATTAGGCAAATTAAATAAGGGTATATTAGTAAATGAACAAAACAAACCATTCTCAATAAAGAAAATAAGGAAGTTAGCCTATATAAATGGGACGGAAGGAGTATCATTTTTCAAAATTTATAGTACAATGTGTAACTTGGTTTATATTTAAGGTTCTAGGTCAAAGGTTATCACCTACCACCTATGTTGCACAAACAAACGACAAATGATTTTTCAAAAAGTACGACACAGACATGTTGGGGAAATGGTAATCGAAATTCTTTAAAAATGAAGATTTATATATTTTATCTTCATGTTTATATTTTTTTATCTTTTAATAATATCAACTATTTTCTTGTTTTGATTTTGTTCATGACATCTTTTAAATTGGTTGAGTAGCTATCTGTTATATTAAAATAACTTGAACTTAAACTAGATATTACAATACTGCGAAGGAAAAATAAATAGAGTATATGCTAGTGTCCAAGGAGCGAGAGTGCTGGTAACAGACACCACCACGTGACACATGCTGGACACAGACATGGACACGAAGCACCAGTAGGATTCATGACAGTGATTTATAGAACAGAAAAATCTGGTCTTTTATTTTTGATATTAAGATGATAAAAATAACAGTTAAGATGGCAACATTCATGACATAGGTAATACTAATCCTTGCACTAGAACCTAATTTGTTAAGGAAAAAGATTATGTTTTATATATGATGTTACATTAACACCAAGTCGATATCACCACAGCAGCAAACTCAAGAATGTAAAGAGGTGGTTGTCATGAAATTGATTTATATCCTTGCACTAGATCCTAATCGGTTCGAAGAAACAAAAATCTTTCATGTAGTTTTGCAATAATGAATATGTATGTATGATAACAACAAAGGAAAAAAGAATTTATGATAACAGAAACCTGAAGTTTTTGATGTAACAATTGTAACAGATCTACTTGATGCCAACAGTTGCAGCTCCTCCCTCAAACTATTGACCTATACAAATTAAATATTCCTTCAGTTACTGCAATAAGAACATCTAACATATGTTTCGAAAATGTTGTAAGGGGTGATCAAGCTTTAGTAATTCACAAACATGAAATATCACAGTGACACAAGGACCATGGATGCAAAAATTTCATGCAGGTCAACTGTTGAACTCACCACAAGTTATTACATACTTTTCTGGACTACAGGCATCATCAATTACCCGCAAACACAATATCGTCACATCCAACATTCAGAGTCATAACCAAATTTTCAAGCATCGTCCATTGGACTTAGTCGTAACAATGAGAGCCATATAATTCTTTTGCATATGAAAAATCACTCTCCATGCACCTGATTTTTAATTCTTAATTAGCATGGCAGGAAGATCAATGCATTACACCGGACTTGATATGTGAGTTTCACTCACCATATTAATGCTACTTAATCTTGATATTTCGTTTGATTCTTAGAGTTTTTGGACGTTTTAATGTGTTGTTTTAATGTTGTTTTATAGATTAGGTAAATTAGTGCGAATGGTATAAAACTTGAAGGAAATAAGTAGCTACGAACCAGAGAGGTGGGTGCTTTGAAGAAATTCACTGAGCTGTGGCGCCAGTTGCCACATGCGAACAAAGAGAGTCAGATTTTTTAGTTTTTTTTTTTTTTGGGTCCGATTTGTCTCCAATTCTTTCCAAGACTCCAAAATACTATAAATACAAGATCAAAGACCTATTTTCTCCTACAATTCAAAGGGACAAGATTCAAGATATTAAAAGGAAGGCAAGAACAACATCAAAGAAGAAGATTGAAGATCCACCCAAAAACTAAGGAGCTGTTCTCTTTGTGTTTCAGATTTTAGTTTTGAGTTTTGAATTTATTTTTGATTTTGTGTTTTGAGTGTCCATTTTAAGATTGTTGAAAACGCGTTCTTTTTGTCATTTTGAAAAATTGTTTTCAAAAATAAAAAATTAAAAAATGCGTTTACTCTCTAGAAATTTTAAAAGCAATTATTCATATATATATATATATAGTTTATTTACGTATACAACAAAGCAAAAGCGGTTGCCATAGTGGTTAAGGCATTAAAACTCCATGCTGGTGACCAAGGTTCGAATTTCAGCCACCTACCAATTTATTTGAAAGATTTTCATATTGTGCATTAAAAAAAAAAAAAAAAAGGCCCCTTTGTATTGAAAATAGGCTGGTGGAATCGAACTCAAGACCATCTAAAAATCCAGGACTCTACCAATTGAGCTATCCGGTTATTGATAAGAAAAAACGCGAAATTTAATTGAAATTTCTTGTACTGTGCATATAAAAAGAAAATTCCTTTGTACTAAATTGCGGTGAAACGGAATTGAACTCTTGACCTTAACAAAATTCGTGACTCAACCAACTGAGCTACCTTGCTATTTGCAAAAATACCGCGTTTTCCGCATTTTGAAGTTTTGGCTTGATTTCTACTAAAAACAGCCAAAACGACTAAAAGGCCGTTTTGCGTTTTCTTTGTAATTTTTTTCTGCGTTTTCGAAAATTCATTTATGAAAATAGGTAAGTAAACGTGTTTTCAATGTTTTCAAAAATTAAAAACTAAAAATAATATGAAAACAACAAAGAGAACAGGCCCTAACTTTTTCTATTCTGTTCTTTATGTTGTTTATTTTGAATTCTATAGATTTCATGTTTTTTACCATGAACTAAACTATTCTTCTAGGGTTTGATTAGCCAAAACTTGAGAGTAGGATTTGAATTTATTTTAATTATTTCTACAAAATTTTCCATTCCGTTTATTTGTGTTATGATTTTAATACTTTTAGTTAATTGGCCACAAACTAAATAAGTAGATGCTAGTTAATTTTAGTACTCAAGAGAGGGAAATTTCGATGCCGTCATAAGATTAACACAACGTAGATTTTATGGATTTCAAGAGAAAGTGTAGAATCTATAAAGCTTACTCTATGAAAGAATCATGAAATTGATAAATTCTTGATTTTAATTTGGAATAGAGCTATTGAAATTGAAATTTAGAATTAATTTCTGGTCGACACTCGAGAGAGGGGTAGAAATATATATTAGTTGAGATCTTGCTTATAAACATGGAAAAGTTGATTAGAGATAACTGGATAATTGAGAATCATATTTGATAGTTAGGTGAAATTAAATCCTAGGCTTTCTTGACTCGAGTGATCTTTCAAACTAGTTTTGATATCATTGAATTCGTCACCATATTCATTATTAGATTAGTTTAAAAATATTAATTTCATAACACATTCGTCTAGATAAAATTAAGGCTATGTAATTATAGTGCTTACTATAATATGAATTACAATTCCTGTGGGTTCAACACTCTCAAACTCCATTTATCTATTACAAAATTTGACACCGTATACTTGTGGTGTAAATCATGATATAGAAAACGCGTGACAAGTTTTTGACGCCGTTGTCTGGAATTGTTTTATTTGATTTTTACGAGCATTATTACTAACTAGCTTTTCTTTTAGTTTAAAATTTTTTATTTTGTAAATTTTGGCCACCCACCTTGATCTTACTTTTGTTTACTGTTTTCCAGGTACTATTCAGTAACGTATGCTTTATACTAACAATGGCAGGGAAGCAAAGCAATTGCAATAAGTAATCTTGACATGGATGATATTGATATGCTTGTATGAGATATATATTGTGAGCATTGTTATGGGATGCATTATACCAGGTACTGTTTGTATACATGTACCGACTTCTATAGGTTAAAGATTCTTTGGTTTATATAATATTCAAGATGTCGAAAACAATCAATTGATAAATCTAATGAAAGCTACATGTTTGTGCGAGAATATGTATCTGTCGATTGGGATGAGGACATCATACTTGGGAGATGGTCCTCTGTTGAACGAGAACGTACTTCCAAATTATTATAATGAATTTGCCGAATTGGATGACAGCAACATGTGTGGGAGATGGGAGATACTAGTTTGAATTTAAAAGGTGGGGATATAATCCACTGGAAAAAGTTGAAAAGAAAAAACAATCATTGCTCGTAGATTTGGACTCGGAACCGACTATTCAACCCAAAGAAATATCAACTATTGAAGAAGAACATAAAGAGAATAACAAATTCACAACAGAACCAAATGAACAATTAATGAAGATGAAATTAACACACATTCTTTAGACTTCATCAATTGCCCAACAATTGAGTTTGTGATTAAGCCTGATGAGGAAGAAGTTTACATAGTTGATCTTGAAACGTATGGAATATGCAAGTTTTATTAAACAAAAGAAGCAAAAGGAGCAAGGCATGAAAAGATTTCTTCAAAGCTCCATGATGCAGATTATCACTGTCGAGATAATGACATTAAAAAAGCGTTTCTTGAGAGGCAACCCAAACTTGCTCTCTCTCTCTCTCTTATTTTTTATTTTAGTGTCAAATTTTAGTTAGTAATGAGGTTATTTCTTTTTATAGGAAATCTCAAGTTTTGGGTGAAGATAGAAGAAGAATCCATCAAATCCAGCATCATAGCACCATAATGTCATTGGCATTTGGCAATATAAAAAGAAGCAAAAGGAGCAAGGCATGAAAAGATTTCTTCAAAGCTCCATGATGCAGATTATCACTGTCGAGATAATGACATTAAAAAAGCGTTTCTTGAGAGGCAACCCAAACTTGCTCTCTCTCTCTCTTATTTTTTATTTTAGTGTCAAATTTTAGTTAGTAATGAGGTTATTTCTTTTTATAGGAAATCTCAAGTTTTGGGTGAAGATAGAAGAAGAATCCATCAAATCCAGCATCATAGCACCATAATGTCATTGGCATTTGGCAATATAGACAATTCAGGGTTATCCTCCTTTTCCTTTAATTTCACACTGAGGATTATTTAATATAAGTTTAGGGGGTAAAATATAAATTGTCTAATTGCCTTAGTTTTTTATTTTTATTTTTAGTTATTGTTGTGCTGTTAAAAAAAAAAAGTTGTTTTTGCATGTTTGTGTGAGTTAGATAGCATTGTCGATATTGATGTTTATAATTGAGAACATGTGTTGATTTATGAAGTGTGGAGAAGTTATGTGCCTTAGTTAATTTTTTGCTTATTCATGTGGAACGTGAGATATCTATGCACGCGAATTGATTGTAGCATTGTACATGAATAGTACAATAGGTTAATTCATGTCTATAGATTGAAATAGAGAACTTAGATGCTAAATCCAAACAACTACTAAATATTATTATATATTTAAACCAAATCTAGGATGTTTGGGTGGTTGAGTTGTTATAGGGAAACTTGGAGATAAATGTGGATTCTGTTTAAGCTAAAATTTTGTGTGGATTGTCCGAGACCAATTGGATAATAACCTTAAGTTAGAGATCATTTTTTCAGAATGAGTTATTATAAGGGCATTGTACTAATTACTGCATAAAAGGAAAAAGTTGCATTGTTGTGAAGCTACCCTAAAAGATCCCAATAAAGACAATTATAATAATCTCATTGTGAAGCTTTTATGATTTGAGTAATTAAGTCTGCAAAGGTTTAAAACCTAGTGCCCTAAAATCATCTGAATTGAAAATTATCGGCTTAAAACTCGCTACAGAGGTTATTTAGAAAGCTTAATATAGAAATGTCCCCACATAAAATTAGTTAAAGAGTATATGTGTCTGAAAAAGCAGATGCATAAAATAAAAGACGCGCTATATTCCTTGAGTAAACATCAAACATTTGTTTTAGAAGATTAAGCCTTTTAGTTTTAGTAACTAGATATGGACTCTTCACAATTTGATGCACTCACTCGACAAATAGTAGCTATCCAAACCCAGATGACTGTTACTCTTGAAGATAGTAAGGCCCTCTCTGCTAATTTGAACAATTTTAAGCAAATCCTTCATTCAATCGACGTTGATAATTCTAAAGTATCCCATAATAAGGCTTAAAACTCGCTACAGAGGTTATTTAGAAAGCTTAATATAGAAATGTCCCCACATAAAATTAGTTAAAGAGTATATGTATCTGAAAAAGCAGATGCATAAAATAAAAGACGCGCTATATTCCTTGAGTAAACATCAAACATTTGTTTTAGAAGATTAAGCCTTTGATAAAAGGGTTAGTAACTTGATTGATTCTTGGAGGTTAAAGAAGTCAAAAATAAGGAGAACCCTCATTTATTTATATGTTGAATTTTAATTAGTAAAATCTAACCAAAATGAAGATGATAAAGGGTAGTGATTTGTAAATCAACCTTAGATTACATCCTTGGGAAGAAGATAAAAGAAAACAAATTTGAGAGTGTACGAATCCCACGAGCAAAGAAATGTTATATTTGACTTTTAAGAACGAGAGTTGGACCAACTTGTGATTGTACATCGTTGCACTTAGTTCTTCACAAACATACCCGTTTTGCATTGGATATGTGAGAATTTAGCTTTTGCATTGAAGTAATTCATGAATTTGATATAATGTTTTCAATCATAAGCCATGAGGGCAAGCTATCTGAGTGAATTACCCAAATGGTCAATGAACTTTGTAAAAAGTTTCCACGTGGTTACTAAATTTTAAAAATCATCCAATTCATTACAGAACTTTAGGTCTAAGAGATGATCTTAGGCGTGAGCTTTTCTTTCGAGGTGTCACTACTCTTGATCACGCTTATTCTTTAGCCTAAGATTATGAGTTGACTATTAGTACTCCGAAATTTGAGAGTGTACGAATCCCACGAGCAAAGAAATGTTATATTTGACTTTTAAGAACGGGAGTTGGACCAACTTGTGATTGTACATCGTTGCACTTAGTTCTTCACAAACATACCCGTTTTGCATTGGATATGTGAGAATTTAGCTTTTGCATTGAAGTAATTCATGAATTTGATATAATGTTTTCAATCATAAGCCATGAGGGCAAGCTATCTGAGTGAATTACCCAAATGGTCAATGAACTTTGTAAAAAGTTTCCACGTGGTTACTAAATTTTAAAAATCATCCAATTCATTACAGAACTTTACAAAAGGTTTCCACGAGGTTACTGAACTTTAAAAATCATCCAATTCATCACTAAACTTTGCAAAAAATTTCCCAGAAGTAGTGACCCTTTGGGAAACTTTTTGCAAAGTTCAATGATCAAGTGGAAACCTTTTGCAAAGTTCAGTGATGAATTGGATGATTTTTAAAGTTCAATGACCCAGTGGAAACTCTTTGCAAAGTTCAATGATTATTTGGATAATTCACCCCAAGCTATCTAACCATATAAAAGGCGTATTGACAACCATTCTTTTGTCTCATTGGCTCCACTTCCTCCCTTTAAGTCCCTTCTAGGACCTCCCCCGTCTAATGTTCTTTCAATCTTGGAAAATAAGGGTAAAATTTTTGAAACTCCAAGGACTTCTTCTCACTTGCTATGCATCAGCTGCAAGGACTTTGGTCACATCTCTTCCAAATATCCTAATCGAGCCCTAGTCATAGAAAAATGAAAGAATGTAATAGAAGAGTCGTTGTTTCCCAGAAGTAGTGACCCTTTGGGAAACTTTTTGCAAAGTTCAATGATCAAGTGGAAACCTTTTGCAAAGTTCAGTGATGAATTTGATGATTTTTAAAGTTCAATGACCCAGTGGAAACTCTTTGCAAAGTTCAATGATTATTTGGATAATTCACCCCAAGCTATCTAACTAAACTTGTTTTAGGTGAGTTTGGTACTATGTCCCATGATTTCACAATCACTTTTGGAGAACCCGGTCGCCTATGGTTAGCATTAAATCGAAATTCTCCAATGCAAAACCACCTCAAACTGATGGTCAAAATGAAGTCGTTAACCAAAGTCCTAGCAATTTATTCAAGTCTCTAGTCCAGAAAAATCTTGGGAATTGAGACTTGATCCCCCCAACTGTTCAAATTGCATATAACAATTCTATGAATCGATCTCTAGGTCTAAATCCATTTAAAGTTGTTCATAGTTATAAGTCTAGGCGGCCGTTAGATCTTATTCCCATGTCCCCACATGCTAATGTATCGTTGTCAGCTAGAGAATTTGTGTATCATTTTCATGACTTGCATACTGAGATCAATAAACAACTTGACGCAAGTAATGCATTATATAAACCTCAAGCTGATTGGCATAAACAACATTTTGAATTTAACATTGGGAATTATATTATACTGCAAGCCCGTAATGCTGGTCCTTTTAAAATTTCAAAGCACATTGGTCTAAATACATGTCAATGATCTTTCATCACATTATAACCACCAACCTATTTTAATTGTTAAGGACTTCGACGCTTACAAAGCTATTTTAACACTTTTGATGATCTTTTTCTATCTCTACCTCGGAACTCTCACACTGAATCTTTTGCTATGTCCATTCAAATACTACCTATCACAGCACGCAATGACAAAATTGATGTTATTTTAGATGAACAGATTGTGTTGACCAATCATAGAGAGATTCAGTGCTTTCTTGTTCATTGGATGGATCAACCTGAGTCTGATTCTATATGGATTGTCAGAGCGACGTTCCAACAAATCTGGACCAAGATTGAGTTTCAATATTTGGTTCTTCAGAAAGATCGTCCGTCGTGGTCTATTATGTCTTATCCACTTGATTGAGTCGAATTTTTCCTCCCACCCTGGAAGAGTTGATGAGGACATCACCTATTTTGGGCTTTTACTTAGGGTTATTTATTTCATGATTTATTAGTTTAATTGGGCTGTATTTATGGGCTGGCCTAAGGCCCTTTTATGTTTTGGAATTTATATATGTATGCAGCCTTTATGTAAGAGACAGATTGATGATGGAATGAATTAATTGGAGTGTTGCAGGCGTTTTCTCCTTTTCCACGGCCCCTCCTTCTCTTCTTATTATTAATACTTGGAAATATGAAGATAGAAAATTTCTAATTATTTGTTCATCCAACCCTTAATTTATCATAACTTTGTTACTACTTAGCTAATTGTTTGTTAATTATTTGTTTACATACTTAATTATTACTATTATAACATATTTAGAGTTCATCTATGCAACATATTTCAAAATCGTTTTTATTTAAACTTATTTTCTATCACAATTTTTTTAATAACATAGTTTTCATGTAGACCTATAATTTTTTCGTACTTTTTATCCACACACTCTAAAAATCATTTTACACTATAAATAATTTTATCCCAAAACAAAAACTTAAATTTACATAAAGTAAGGGTATTCTTTATTAAAAGTTCAATTTGAATGTTATCCGTATTTTATTGAACTCGGAATATTAAAAAAAAAAAAAAAAAATATATATATATATATATATATATATAAACGGGGCAAAAAAACTGCCCCACCCCGTCAAAGGCGGGGCGGGGCGAGGGCAAACCCGCCCCGTTGCCATCACTACTCTTCTCCTTCCATGTGATTGCTTCTATGTCTATGTTATGCTCCATCAAAGTTTATTAGAGATAATTAGATAATTGAGAATCATATTTGATAATTAGGTAAAATCAAATCCTAAGCTCTTACCTTGAGTAATCTTTCAAACTTGTTTTGATATCATTGAATTCATCACCATATTCATCATTAGATTAGTTTAAAAATATTGATTTCATAATAAATGCTATATAATTATAGTACTTACTAGAATTTGAATTACAATCCCTGTAGGTTTGATATTCTTAACTCCATTTATATATTACAAACTTGATACCGTATACTTCCGATATAGATCATGTTATTGAAAACATGTGACAGGACTCCTAAGTTTTTTATGTTTCCTCAGGTATCAACCAAGTGTCATATTTCTTTGGTACGTGTATGACATCAAAACCTCATGTACCTTAGTATCAAAACCTCATGTACCTTAGTATCTCGGTAACAATGTGATAGGATAGTTTCTAATCAACAACAACTTTGAAAGGCCTCTTAGGTACTTTATTCAACAAGAAACTGATTGATGTGATGCAAACCCCAAATACCATGGAACCAGAGGCATTAAAAATAATCTTCTGTAACAGCTTATATACTTTAAAAAAAAAAAAAAAAACAACAACTCGTAAAACGCATCCCAACCCTGCTCTCTGCACAACATCCTTAGAAATCCATAATAGTTTAAAGATGCCATTTCAACTATCAGCATTAAGTAGGATCAGGTCCAAGATCATAAAAACATAAGGAACATCCAAGATAAAGCATATCCAATACACAAGAAAAAGAAAATATATGTAACTAAAGTGTTAAACAAACTGCAAACCTGTTGCAGCAAAGAATCATTCTTTGGTTTGGGATTTGAAATGGTTGGATCGTCACGCTGAAGTTTCTTCAAAATCTGCCATGAAATAAAGCCTATGTTTGAGCTCCATTTTATCCAAAACTCATTTTTTTCCAAAACTCATTTTTGACCACACACTCTCCCATAAAGTAATTATACATGTAAATATGAAACTTTTTCTATTTTTCAACCACACATTCTAAAAAAATTACAATTCCAAAACCTATTTTCCACAAAAAAATGCAGCTCAAACAGGGCCAAATAGGTATAACAAGATCTACTTCAGAAAACATTTTAGAGAAGATTCATTAGCAAGACTGTCAAGACATAGAGTCTATAAACAATATAGTGGGATCTAGTAGCCAACAGGAAGTACCTTAAAAGCACCAGAGAAAAAACCAGACACGTCAGATATGCGTCCTTCCTTAGCAAGAATAGACCCAGCAAGGCCTGAAAAAATAAAAGATGGCTATGTTCTAATCAATCCTGTGCTTCTTACCACATAACAAAACCAAATTAAACAATATTGACTATGGTTGGATATGAAAGGCATCAAAATTGCTCATTAATACCACACTTTAAAAGCATTACAAATAATTATTAGCCAAACTTGCTACAACTATCTTCAGAATCGTAAGATTCTATTTTTATAGTTTATAGTTAAACAAATCTTTTTTTTAAAACCGCACAAAGGGGTGCTTCCATAAGCAGGCTAAAGGCCATCGATATGTTATCACAGAAAAAAGCAGTGTAGCAGCCAAACAGATGACCAAAAACAGGGTGCAGTAAGCAAAGAATTCCAATATTGCAACATCTTTCTCGTCTTACAGCCATCTTTCTCTTGAATTGAGCAACTCTCCACTGTGGTGTGTTTAAGGGTTGAAAGAAAGAATAATGCATGAAAAACCACTATAATGCAGGAAAGACTAGATTTTTTCTAAGTGAAGTCCACTCATAATATAGCCTATATAGGTTAGACTGGATATAAAGGATCGTCCATATCAAAAAAGGGCAAATGGAGACCAAAGCAAGGGGGCAACTGTTCAATTAGGGTGTAAAAGCTAGCATGTTTGCTGAGCCAGAAATTGATCACCTGGGAATATCCAATATAGCAATTCCTAATGTGACCAACCATATAATGGGAATTGAGAAAGTCAATATTATTTCCAGTAATAGAAAGCAGCTCAACCTCAAATATCATTCCCAAAACCTGGTCTTGAAATTGCCTACACTGAGTTGCTGAAACTACGAATGCAAAAAATAAATTAAAATCAATTAACAAGGCTCTAGTTTGCAGAAAAGACCCACAAACAGATTGTGAGAAGGCATACGAGATATCACAAAAAAACTCAAGACCCAAAAAAAAAATTAAAAAAAATTAAAATTAAAATTAAAAGTATCTGCGTTTTCTGGCAATTGAAAAATAGAAAAAGAAAAATGAATACAGCAAAAAACACCTTGCGGTGGGTAACACAGAACACAACATCAATCACACAGATACGTCTCTGCATTGCAAACAAATCAGTTGTACACAACTATGAGAAAAATCGGTGCCGAAATGTTTTGGAGAGAACATAAATGAGACACAAGAACCATCTTCTCCACCTATCACGAGTTAAATAAGAATTTCATCACTAAGTTGAGATAGAAAACAAATTTCTAAGTTCATGCAGCAATTTCCTTACAACTTTCTATAATCACTTTCGGTTTCAGAATACTAAATTCATCTTACATCTCTACTCGAGATAGGACCTCATTCACACACCAAATAACCCAATGAAAATAAAAAGGAAAAAAACAAATAGCAGCAACCATAGGCTAAGGTTACACACTAAGCATAAAACTACATTCAAAAAACCAAAGTAGGGTTTATCAAAACCCTAAATTTCTTTCTTGATTAAAAAACACTACCTACCACCAGCAACTCATTCTAGCTCCAACCAGAAAGTCAACAATTTAATCGTTTACACAATAATTTACGCAATTAGGAAAATACATATCCCTAAGTAAAATTAAAATAAATGTGTACGAACCTGCACCAACGATGAGAGTGAGCTTGCCGAGAGGAAGTGCCATGGGCAGTGTATATATATACAGAATCGATTATTAATGTAAATACCAATTTGAATAAAACATTAAATTAAAGCTTAAAAAATCGAGGGCTTTATGCGCAAAATATCAAAAAGCGATTACTGGATTCAGTTGAACAAGATATACTATTTTTGATAAATTTTGTGAAGGAGAAACAGGGATCAAAGTGAAGTACAAAAATCAGCCGCGTTTTCCCATAGAGAATTGGAATTTTTCATCAAGTGGCCCTGTAGAGAACGGATTATGCTTTGAGCTTGACAGTTGCGAATGGGCCCTTAAGAACGGCTTACTGGATTTCATTTGGGCCTGTGGGGAATATTACGGACAAATTGGGTCTCTAATGAATAAAGAGGAAATTAGGCTCCTACTGTAAAAAAGGAACCAATTGGATTAATACACTTTACATAAATTTAAGGCCCGTAGTTATTTTTTTCAAAATGTATTTTTCTCTTTTTTCTTTTCAATCATACATTCTTTATTAAAATAATATTACACATAAATAAAAAAAATTCTTTATTTTTCAACCACACATTTCACATCAATTACTATTTTAAAATACATTTTTACATAAAAATACCTATCAAATACCCTCTAAACCTCTAATCGCCGTAATTTATACGTCCCAACATCGATCCAAAACCCCAAAGAGCTTCAAACCCAACTGATTACAAAGAGAAACCTACAAACGAGGCGTTTAAAGAGTGAAATCTGCCAAATGATTTGGAAAAATGGGGATTGACATTGTCTTTTGCTATGTTAGAGAAGATGCTTGCAGCAATACAATATCATAGTGAAAAGGAATAGATGTTTTTCAGCGTGCTTGATGGAGGGGTATGGTATGGCTGGATATTGGAGGAGATGTATACTATATCAATAGCTCCTGTTTGGTATCCATTTTTTTTAAAATGCATTTTTCTTTTTCTTCTTTTTAACCACACATTCTTCATTAAAATAATATTACATGTAAATCAAAAACTTTTCCTTGCTTTTCAACGACACATTTTCCATCAATTTACTATTTCAAAAAGCATTTTTACATAAAAATGGCTCCAAAACACCCTCATAATGTTAGAATATATGAAGTTTGTGGGATTTACAAACAATTGAGACAAACTCGTGAATTCACACTACAAATGCCAGATAACTAAATTCTTTAGGTTCATAGAATGTGCACACCAAGTGTTCGACATATTGATTCATCCAATTCCATATGTCAATATGGTTTCAAAGATGATATATCGCAAAAAAATGCAAGAAGAGGCTAAATTTTAGACAAAACATGAGCCCATCTTGTCAAAGTACTATTGTTCATCTATACTATCACACAGTCATTAGAAGGGCATATAAACTTTGGCTAAATGGTATAATTGTATTAGCAATTCTTATTCAGAATCAAGTTTTAGTAGTTTTGCAATAAATATCCATCCATGTGCAAAAATTGGACAAGGCATAGTATTTAACCATGCCACTGGAATTGTGATTGGAAGAACATGAGTTACAATTTTACAAGGTGTGACGAATAGGTACATGGACTAAAATTTAGGGCAATGTTAAAATTGGAGAAAATGCAAAAATTGGAGTAGGATCAGTTATTTTAAAGGAAATTCCAGTAGGTACGACAGCAGTTGGAAATCCCACCAAAGTAGTTGGATTGAGATAAACCAAAGAGAGCTCTAGCAGTTATGATTAAATTTTGGTGGGAAACTGGGGAGAGAATTGGGGATTGGAGGAGGAGAAAAATGACATTTTATGTCAAATATTTTAACAAAAAAAGGTGACTTCTACATTTTAACAAAAGTTGTTTGTGTATTCTATTGGGACAACAATTTCAATTATTTGGTCACTTTTATATTTATTATCTTGTTCCTATTTACGTGCACAATAAATGAAAATGTTACAAATTTTCATATTAATTACGCTCAAATTAATTTTGTCACTTTTTTAATTTTTTAATTTGATTTTTGTCACTTTTTTGAATTTCTCACTTTCTTTTTTCTTTTTTTGTAGGATTGAGATTTAATAATCTTTCAAAAAATTTTGTTTAAAGGAAAAGTTACATTATATTATCCGCACGAGATAATAACGGACTTAAATGAAAATTTTAGTCTCTTTATTCAACTGATTTCAATGTTTTAATTGATATTTTGTCACTTTGTTAAACTTTTGTCACTTTTTGGCACTTTTTTAAGTGTTTCACGTTTTTGAATTTTTGTCACTTTTTTGAGTATTTGTCATTTTTTTATGAATTTCTATCACGTTTTTTTAATGTTTGTCACTATTGTTTTCCTTTTTTGTCATTTTCCTAATTTTTTAATTTTTTATTTTTTTTGGTTGACAAATATCGCTTTTTAAAAAAAGTGACATTGCATATTA